TTAAGACCTGAGACAAGGATAGAACAAAGGTGCACAAACCAAAAATTCATACTAGTCACAAAGGTTGTAGAGAGGATCAAAACAATCCTGAGGAGGCTGTAAAATGAAGGCCTGTTCCCCACAAAATACTTCATCATGGTCATTTCAGAAGTACTTTTAAGTTTCAGTGAATATATAAAAAACACTTCTCCATGTTACACTCTTCAAAACCCCTGTGTTACCCATGCACGGATGAACTTCCTCTCCTACCCTCCTACTTTTCCTGAAGTGTTACCTGGCTCCTTCGAATGAAAGCAAATGCACAGCTGCAGTTGCCCATTGGCCACCGTTTGACAGTGGGTATCAGGGGTGCTCAGGTTCTGTAAGAAGGAGCGAGTGACCAAGTCACCACTCCTGTTCTGCTTCCTAAATAACTGCACACTTCTCGCTGTTGCTGAGGAACACATTTGCACTCGTCTGAGTGTCAGCAGCTTTAGACAGCTAAATTGTGTTTCAGGCACTGACAACTACTGACACCAAGGGAGCTCCGTAATACCACTACTACTGACCTTGCTGTTATTGGTGCACAAACCTGCACACACTCACATACATGCTGCAACATACACAAAGTGAGGTCAGAACTTGAGAGCTGTGGCTTTCATATGGCTCTACAGATACAGCTCTCAAGTTCCGAGCTCACTGTGCGTATGTTGCTTCTCTCTACCTCTGACAGCTGTTCCTCCCTGGACACCCCGAGAAGGAAGCTAGTGCTCTGACCTGCACGGGCTCAGGAGTGAGCTGGACAACATGCTGCATGCGCTCACTGTGGTGATGTCTGGACTCTTCCTCGTAGATCACATCCCTCTCATGCTGGGGAAGGTTCAGGAAGCGGCGAATGGTGCAGAGGTTCTCCCAAAGGGTGCGGTTTTCCGGACTTGGATTTTCTTTCCAGCGAAGCAGCTCACACAGCCAGCCCTGCAATGGTAGGGTCAGCATAGTTAATTCACTGAGCACTGAGGAACCAGATGTGAGTGGAAGGTCAGCTAGACTTAAAGCTCTGTGCTGCAAGTTTCACTGGTCTCATCTCACACAGAACACCCCCTACCCTCAGCTGCCCTTTGGTGTTAACAAATCCTTGGATATATTATACTTCCTGCAAGCTGGAGAAACACAACCAGCAGTGCTTAACAGGAACCAGGAAGCACAGCATCTTGCCCCTTCATAATCATACCATGTTTAAAATGCTTGGATATAAGTATTTTTCCTCTAGAAAACCAGAGTTGAAATAAAGGTGCATTTCCACTTCTGTTTCAGAGCCCATTTATTTCTTCATCCAAGCAAGAGAAAAGGAGGTATAACCCCTGAGACTTGCTAACAACCCTCATGCTAAGGGTTGCACCTGCAGGACCAGAAATTCAACCATTACTGAAAACATTTAGAAGAAGGTACTATCAAGTAAAGATCTCAATCTGCTGTCATTTTGTTGCATCGACTCTCCCAGCTCTGAACACCAATAGAATTTGACACCTTTAAATAATCAAATGGCCACGTAGAAGGTGCAACCTCATAGAAAAGGAATCCTCTAGTATTTAGCATGAAAGCAGCAAACAGAGTCCTGCAGAAGTTACTAGAGAGATTAAGATACTAGGTGGAGGCAATTCTAAACCCAAATACAGATCATAATAATAACAGACTTTATTCCTGCTATATTGTTTTAAGGTTAGTTTGTATGCCTTCAAACAGTTACCACTGTATGAAATCCTGTAGGACCTCTCCATTGGGGCTGAGAGCTCAGACCCCTGGAGAAGGAAGCGCCAGCACTTCAGGAAAAGGAAACCACTCTAACACACAAAGCCAACCTGAGAGCACAATGGCAATAGCTGTTCAGGTGAGGGCAGCCCCGCATGTGTTAAGTGTGTGTGTGGTAGTGACCTGGCATCCCCAGCAGGTTAACCAGGGATGGTGGCTGTTGCTGCACCTGCCTGTGAGAGGACACAGAGCCAGCCCCACCCTGCCTGCCAGCAGCCACCCCGCTTGGGGTTAGGGACAGTGATTCCCCTCCTCTGCTTGTGTGCAGGAGATGCAATGCAAATGACAGAATACGAGAAGATAATGCTGAGGATGCTGTCAACGCGCCTTACTGACTCCTGTCAAAATATTTTACCTAGTAGCTTTATAACCCATCATTTTCGAGCTACAACTCAGCATTTTGACACCATTTTGACAGGCACCTTACAATACCTAAAAGATAGCTTGATCAATGTTAAAAATGTTCAGCACGAGAAGTAGCCAAAACTGTATTTTTCCGAACAGCGACTAGAGCAAGCTGAACAGCCAGGTTCATTACTGGCCCACGTGGGGGTTCTTTGGTATTGTTTTTTTGTGTAACAACTTGTAAGCCATTGACAACTTCTACAGTGCACTCTAAACCCCGTATATAATATCATAAGCTGTTGTTTGTCTTCCTCTCCACTGTGTCTTCTGCGTTCACCCCCCCCCAAAAAAAAGGCAAGATTTGATTATCTCCGCTGCATCAGCCAAGACAGCAACACCAGCTGTTCTCATTGTGCAGCCTCTTCCTCACGGCCTACATGTTAATAACCTGATCATTCCATTTTCTCCTTCAACTGCCGGCTGCAGCACAGCGAAGAGACAAAAACCCAGGCCCATCTGCAGCAGCTGTAGGCACTGAACTGTGAAGCCACCAGGGATTTATAAACTAATCTGTAACACAACACTGCCTTGTTTTTACAAGTGAGAGGCCACATTTGTGCAGACCTGATCTTTTCTTGCAATAAACTAGGAGGGTTTGGGGGGAGGGCAAGGATGAAAACAAGATATCTAATCATTTACTTAGGGGGAAAAAAAAATCTGTACTATATTTTCGAAGTATTTTGACTGGTATTTGGATAATCTCTCAGCCAGGTGATGTCTGTGTTTTAATGTGGTTTGGCCACATCCCTTGCCCTCAGTTCTCCTCTTTAACCTTTTCTTTGCTCAGAAATCCCCCCAAAATTTCTCTCTTTTAGAGAAAAACAGGAAGAAAATCTCTCAGCTCCACAGTGTTTTCTCAGGGGTTCCTCCATACAAAGAAAATAATTTTTGAAACAGAAAAACCATCTGTGAAAAAATAAGCTCCTGTTTTTCCCTGTTTTCAGTGATCTGAGCAAGTCTCCAACTGAACTCTTTCAAATGTTTCAAGCAGGTACGTTTAACATCTCCCGAGGGCTGCTGCAGGATGAAGACCTGCACACACAAAACACTGTACCTGGTGGAGCCAGAGCCCCAGGTGGGGCAGGCCCAGGGAAGGATGGCTCCTGGGGCTCTCCTGAGGACTGCCTGGGGCTGTGCGGTACCCGGCTCCGGCAGAGCCCAGGGACGGCTCAGCAGGGCCAGCTCCCCTTCCCAGAGTTGGACCAGGTAGCCCGATGGCGACTGCTGCATTTGATTTATCTGTCCCGTTATAATCAGTACTCATTACAATCACTTAGAGCAACACTACAGGCCTCATTATGGACTAGGCACTGGCTGCCATTAGTCTTTAAGAAGGATAGCGCTCAATTTGCCTGGCAACATGCAAGGTCCTGACCTTGGAGCTATTAGGGAAAAGATTAGACTGCAGTGTGACCATGTGTGCAGACATGAGCAAACCAAATTAATTTCTGGCAAAAGGAGGCACCAGGCAAAGACCCCGCCATCCTGAGGACACCTGAGAACTTCTCCATTCCCCAAAGGAGATAAGCTAATGGCACGTTTAAAGGAGCCTGGTTCTGAAGGTGAAGCACATCCGTGGTATTTAGAGAGATATTAATCCAGTTTCCCCACAAAGTATTTGCTTGGCTGATCAGATTAAGGGATATAGCCTTCAACAGCACACCCCCACCGCAGCAGGCCCCAAGAAATCTGTGATACTTCACAGCCTCAGACATATTGCACCATGTGTACCCAGCTGCTACAATAATTAGCTTATGAATGTATCAGCTGGTTCTGTGATTTTTATAAATAATAACTAACCTACAGAGCAGAAAGATTTTCATGAGCCTAATATTAGCAAGAAATTGCAAGGTGTGCCTAACTCTGAATTGTCATTGTGCTAAATGCCCTGTCTTCTCTCACGTTGCGCAGGACTGGATCTCCCCCAACACCATTTATAAATATTTATTTTTGCATCAGCAACAGCAAAGTATTTGTGGCAGCTTTCTTCACAACAGCCATTATTCGCTCAACCCCACACATGCACACGCGTACCCACTGTGTGCATGTGTACACTTATCTGCATCAAATCTGTCCTTTCGTTGCTCTTTTCCTATCCTTCCCTTTATTTATTCAAGCATTCATTCTCTTGTGCAACCATTCAAGACCCTATCTACCCATCTATGAGGCTGCTTATTAGGTGATAGCTTTGGCTAATACGTGAGAAAACATAGTGCTGCAGCTTACTCACACATTCTTTATGATTGCAAGTAACCGCCTTCCCCATGCACAGATGAAAAGTCTGCATTGGATTTTTTAAATTATTTATTTAAATAATCTTAGCACGCCATCCAAGAAAGTTTTGCAGTACCAGGCAAAAAAAAAAAAAAGTGTAAATGTCAAATAAAACAGTGACAGATGACAGTATTCTCTATTGAATAGCACCGTTTCTTCGTGCATGTTCAATGAGAACTCATGAATTATTAATATGCAAATCTCCTTTTACTGTTAAAAATCTCAACTTGGGGTTTTTTGGTTGCGATTTTTTTATTTTCTTTTATTTATTTCTTTAGGTCTGTGTATGTTACACAGAGCTTTCCAGGAGAATTATTTCATTTAAGAAATGCTAACATACAGAAATTCTTGGAGCTACAGTCATTCACAATGAATCTTTATCTACAGCTACATTTATTGTTGTGAAGAAGGAAAAGTGAAGAGGGAGATGCTATCTCACCACCTTTTCCCCCACTCACCCACAACATCTGAGCTCACTGCATTACAAGTAAATGCAACTTCTGTAAACATATTCTGAAATCTAACAAATAACACATCCTTCCCCAGACCGTGATACGCTGTGCTTCTGATCCTGCCTCCCATGCACATCCCAAGTCTTGCTCCACTGCACAAACAGCCCCCTTGACTGCCACAGTGTTACCAAGAGAGTTTGATATGCACCAGGGTCAATATGGGTGGCAGAATCCGGCCCTTAATGTCAAGCTTCTAAGGTTCTCAAATGGGAATGTCTTCCATTAAGAAGAGGAAAAACAGCACAATTAAAGGATCCTTTTGGCTCTACAGTCAGGCACACCCAGTGCTTGTGGTTACAAGGAATTCTGCTCAGAACTTCCTTCATTTCACCCCAAAACTTCTAGAGGCATTGAGAATGCAGCCCAATTTAGCTCATTAAAGAGAGCTGCAGAGAAGTGCTGGCCTCTATTTTTGTTGTTCTCATGAGACAAGATAAACATTTTCTAAGCATTTTATTTGATAAAACAAATAATATCATATTAATGTCCTATTTTTAACCTCTCTCTCTGTCTCCTAATCAAATACATTTCCACATAGCTAAGCAAACAACAACAAAAATCTGCAGGAAGCCAGCCATTCCCATTGTGCTTTTATGCTGTTAAAGAAACAGCGTGCTTACTACACCAAAGCATTAGCCTTGGCGTACTCAAACCCCCTTGAGGGACAGTTAGCTGGTGCAGCAATTGTGAGCCATATTCTCTGTCACTTATCCCTGAGCCCTTTTTAGCAGCTTGACCCTTTCACTTTTGCTAGACTTACCCTGGAGCAGGGGAGGCTGCTCTGGCAGCCAGAGGTACCAAACCACAGACAGGTCAGGTTTTCCAGCACTCAGTGAACGTATGCACAAATAGCCTCACCCCCAAAACTGCTTCCTGCAGATCTGCTGACTTGCAGTCATCCAAGGACTAAATTTCTGATTAAGGACAAGACGGCATATGGAAAGAGTTCAGGCTTAGCTATGCTGGAACCACAGG